CATGCTGTGCTGGCCCTGCCCCCAGGCCTACTGAGCTGGCCACTGAGACCAGACGTGGTGGCACATACCTGTAACCCCAGCACAGGGGAGGCTGAAAACTGAAGGATCACTATGAGTCCAAGCTGCATAGTGAGACCCTACAGAAAATACACTAAAAAAATTTTTTTCATCAGGATTTTCTTGGATCTGTTTGCCTCCATGTTACAAAATGGCTACTGTAGCTCTCAGTGCCATTTCTTCCAATGACAGTGTACAAAGATGTTCTAGTTCATTTTCTGTTGCTGTATCAAAATACCTGAGGCTGAATATTTTAAAAGAAAGGTTTATTTAGCTTGCAGTTAGGGATGTCATGGCAGATGGCATAGTGCTGTTAGCACAGGGGAGGGTAGATCACATGGCAGATGACAAGCCAGAGGAGAGAGGCCAGGCTTGCCCTTTCATAACAACCTGCTCTGAGAGCTCTGTGAGACCAACATTGATCCAGAACAAAGTCTCCAGTATATGAACCCTTGGGGGGTTAGTTTTTCTTGGTTAGTTTTCTCTCATTTCTGAGACAAATGCCTGATGCCCAAAATTAAGGAAGGAAAGATTCATTTAACTCACAGAGGTTTCAGCCATAATTGGCTGGCTCTCAGGCAGAGTGGAACATGGCAGAGGGCAACAGTTCATGGAAAATGGTGAAAGCCACAAGAGCAAAAGGGAGGAGTGAGCTATTTTGTCCCTTATGTTGTATGCAGGATCCCTGTTCTAGGGCAGGTATAGGGCTCACAGCCCCTATCCCAGCACTAGACAATGAGCCAATCGCGAACTGTAGATTCAGCTTCCTCCAAAAGCCCGGGCCTTTGATTACATGAGGTTTGGTGGCATATCCAGGCACAAACCTACAGGACGAACAACAATAAACCACCATAAAACCCACAGCATGAGGATGAGCAGTGATATGGGGAGCTCTGTCCTCACTCTGCTCTTACCAGCGAGAAGCAGCCTTCAGAAGCCCCAGCTGATCTGCCTTTAGAGCTGGGGACACAGCAGCTGTGGGCAGCACTAGCAGAGGGGAGACACTGCCAGCTAC